ATCCTAGATGACACAAACAAGTGGCAAATGTAAAAACATCCCAGGCTCATGGATTGTAAGAATCCACATTGTTAAAATGACCATACTGCCTAAAGCAATCTACAGATTCAATGAAATTCCTATCAAAATACCAACATTATTCTTCACAGAATTAGAAAAAATAATCCTAAAATTCATATGGAACCAAAAAAGAGCCTGAATAGCTAAAGTAATCCTAAGCAAAAAGAATAAAACTGGAGGCATCACATTACCTGACTTCAAATTATACTATATTTGGCTATAGTAACCAAAACGGCATGGTATTGGCATCAAAGTAGACACATAGATCATTAGAACAGAGAACACAGAAATAAGTCAAATATCTACAACCAACTGATCTTCAACAAATCAGACAGAAACATACACTGGGGAAAAGAAACCCTAATCAATAAACAGTGCTGAGAAAATTGGATAGCCATATACAGAAGAGTGAAACTGGATTTCTATCTCTCACCCTATATAAAAATTTATTTGAGATGGATTAAAGACTTGAATTTAAGACCTAAAACCATAAAAATTCTAGACAAAAATCTTCAAAACACTCTTCTGGACATTGGCTTAGTGAAAGAATTTGTTAATAAAGCCCCAAAAGCAAATGCAACAAAAACAAAAATAAACAAATGAGACAAATTTTCCCATTTCTTTCTGCATAGCAAAAGAAATAATCAACAGAGAACCTACATAATGGGAGAAAATATTTGCAAACTAGGTATCTGACAAAGGACTAACATCCAGAATCTGCAAGGAACTCAAATAATATAGCAGGAAAAATAATATAACCCCATTAAAAAATGGACAAAGAACAGACATTTTTCAAAAGAAAATATACAAATGGCCAACAAACATGAAAAAATGCTCAGCATCACTAATCATCAGAGAGATGCAAATTAAAACCACAATGAGATAGCACCTTACCCGTCAGAATATTGTTATTAAAAAGTAAAAACCAGGAGATGTTGGCATGGATGCAGTGAAAAGGAAACACTTATACACTGCTGGTGGAAATGTAAATTAGTACAACCTCTATGGAGATCAGTATGGAGATTTCTCTAGGAACTGAAAGTAGATCTACCATTAAATCCAGCAATCCCACTACTGGGTATCTACCCAAAGGAAAAGAAGTCATTACATCAAAAAGATACCTGCACTTGTACATTTATTACAGCACAATTCACAATAGCAAATATATGGAATCAACCTAAATGTCCACTAACTGATGAATAGATGAAGAAAATGTGATACACACACACACACACACACACACACACACATTATGGAATACTACTCAGCCATAAAATAGAATGAGATAATGTCTTTTGCAGCAACTTGGCTACACAGTGAGGCCATTATTTTAAGTGAAGTAACTCAGGAATGAAAAATCAAATACTGCATGTTCTCACTTATAAATGAGAGCTATTCTCTGGGTGCATATTGTCATACAGAGTGAAATAATAAACAGTGAGGACTCCAAAGGTGGGAGGCTGAGAGGGGGATAAGGGAGAAAAATTACCTATTGGGTACCATGTACACTGTTTGGGTGGTGCGCACACTAAAAGCCCAGACCTCATTTCCATACAACATATCAATGTAACAAAATTGCACATGTACACCCTAAATACATTGAAATTTTTAAAAAGATGAATAAATTCTAAGGATGTAATGTACAGAGTAGGGACTATAGTTAATAATACTGTATTGTATACTTGAAATTTTCTAAAAGAGTACATCTTAAGTGTTTTCACCACAGACACCTGCAGACACACACACAAGAAAATGGTACCTATGTGAGCTGATGGCTATGTTATATTAGCTTGATTGTGGTGATTATTTCACAACGTATACATATATCAAAACATCAACATGTACACCTTAAATGTATATAATTCTTATTCATTAATTATACCTCAATAAAGCTGGGGGGAAAATTAAAACAAAACAAAACAAAAGAACAGCCTGAGTTGCATAAGAGCCCAAAGCAAGGTGGGAAAACCTCCCCAGCCTCCCCTGTCTGCCCCCAGTGCCCAGGAAGACAGCCGGCTCCCAAGGGTCTTCTTGTAGATTTGCCAGGCCGTTGGCTCCTGCTTCTTTGTACCGTTGGCTCTTGCAGACCTCTTTCCTGCCACGTATAGTTATGAAAGCACAGAGGGCTGTAGGCCTGTGGAAGCCCAGCATCAAGGGCAGGACCAGAGTGCAAAATTTAAGGGGGCACCCACTGTCAGGGTCACGTCTGCACCAGCACAACCTGAGGGTGAGGCCACTGTAAGTTTTGTTATCTGGGTAGTCCAAGCCTGCCCGGTGCTGCCTGTTTTAAGTAAGACTGCTTTGTGCCATGTTTCAGTGTTAGGAAGTCCTCTTGCCTGCAGATATCATTTCTCCAATATCAGTTCTATCACAATAATAGAGATGATATTTGGTCTTTTGTCTGTATAGGAAAACAGCATTTGAGGAGTGGTATTGCATGGTGCAGATTTGGACCATAATTCCAAAAGACACAATCCCAAATACCATAATCCTGAATGTTGAAATCCCCAAAGACCAAAATCCCAAATAACAATTCTAGAAAAAATAATTTTTAAAATTCTTTAAAAGATATTTACAATTTTAAAGAAAAATTTAATTGAGAAACATAAAAACATGACAGAATACTCAATAGGACGCTTTACACAATAACATGGGTAATAGTAACACATATTTTTGCAAGCATAAACACTCAGGTATGGTAATGAGAGTCACATGGGTATAACATTTATAAGCAGATAAACTGTATTCAAAAACAAATAGCTTATACAACTGTGGCCATCTAAAACACCTTAATGGACAACCTAATTTTTGTGATGAGATCCATCAAAAATTGCAATGCATACCCAAAGAGTATGCAGTTGCCCAAAGAGTCCAGATCTCAAGAAATTTTATTTTTCACACATGCAGATGTACAAATTGACATCTCTTATTGAAGAAGTTTCAACACTTTTAAGTACACACATGTTTACACGCAAAGTGAACATTGTGATATTGTGTTTTTGTGGGGTCAAATTTGCCAAAAATGCATAAAACTAATTAGAACTCTCCAGAAGTTCTTACACAATTTATATTAATACCTCCACCATTGGAAATAATGTGAAGATGAAATACACAGAATAGCAAATTGTAAAAAATAATGCTGACAGTTTAAGATAGTATGAAAAAAAGTACAAAGAAAAAAAAAGCAAAAAACCCAAAAAAACAAAAAGATAATTTAACAAATGAAAAAGTATATTACAGGTATAGATCATGGGCAACTGAACAGAGGTAGTCCATAAGAGCTGGCCAGCATTCATAGTCACTGACTATATTTTCAAGTCTTTTTTTAAATCAAAATATTAAAGGGGTACAAACGTTTTAGGTTACATGGATCACTTTTGTAATCCTTGAGTCCCAACTAAAGGTGTGCCGGTTACCCAAATAGTGTTCCTAATACCTGTTAAGTAGGTTTTTGTCCCTCCCCTCCTCCCCCGCCCCCTGGTTGATTTCCACTGAGTTTTACTTCTCTCTGTGCATATGTGTGCTCATCAGTTAGTTCCAATTTAATAGTGAGTACGTGTGGTGTTTGATTTTCTATTCTTGAGATGCTTCACTTAGGAGGATGGTCTCCAGTTCCATCCAGATTGTTGAAAAGGTGTTAATTCATCTTTTTTGTGGCCGAGTAGTACTCCATGTTACACATATACCACATTTTATTAATCCACTCATTAATTGATGGGCACTTGAGTTGATTCCACATTTTTGCAATTGTGAATTATGCTGTAATAAACATTTGAGTGCAGGTGTCTTTTTGATGAAAAGTCGTTTTTATTACTTTGGGTAAATACCCAATAATGGAATTCCTGGATCAAACAGTAGGTCTACCTACTTTTAATTCTTTGGGAAATCTCCATACTGTTTTCCCTAGAGGTTGCACTAATTTGTAGTCCAACCTATGAATAGTTGTGGGGTTTTTTTCCTCTCTTTTGGGGCATGGCTCTCCTCAAAGAACAGGTCCACATTCATTTCTACATGGTGCTGCTGGTTTTGAAATGCCTCTATGATTCAATATACACCAACGTGAGCATTCCCTATTACATTTCCATGTCATCTGTGCCATGCTTCCATGTTTTTTTGAATATGTGGAAACCCATTCTGCACACACTCCTATACAGACCACAAATTTGTTGGAAACAATAGTAGGGATTGAACAGCAACACCATTGCATAAGTGGCTTCTTATCCTATCATGCAAATAATTATTTTCAAACCAGTTAGTAACTTCGCTGGCTTCTTCAGGCAAGTGCAGCTTTAATTCATTAAAAGCTCTTGGAATTTTATCAGCTGGAAGAAATGCCAATGCAGACAAATGACACATTTTTAAACTGAAGTTTTTGTCATTGCCATATTGCATGGCCTATCCACTCATCTGAATTTTCTGCCAAAAGCATTAAGCTAAGTGGAAAAAACAAATTTTATTGGTCACGCCTTGAAGTTTACTTTTAGAAAACTTGATTGTACCTAACTCCAAATCTGTCATTATGATTTGTGTATTCAATGAGACATTAGTGATTTTAGACTTTAGGATTCAGACTTTTAGGATTTTGATCTTTTGGGATTGCAACATCCAGGGTTTTGGCATTTGAGATTGTGTCAGTTCAGCACTATGATTGGCACTGGCATAGCGTGAGGCTCTGAAGCCAGACACCCTGGGCTTGCGACCTGGTTCTGATGTTTACCTGCTGGAGGCCCATAATAATAATAATTCCCTCTAAAGTTTATTTTCAAGATTAAATGAGTTAATACACAAGAACCACTCAAAACATTGACACTTAACAAATATTCAATAAATGTTAATCAATAGCAATAGTAATCAATAGATAATATTAAGTGGGAAAAACCACAATTTGTATCTCGATGTTTATATTTATTTGTAATAAATATTGTGCAGTTTTACCTTTCTTTAAAATAAATTTGAATGCTTAGTGCTTATTAAACAGGTTTATTCTTACATAAGTTCCGTTTTAATAGCAATGGCTTAAGTAATCAGGTCACTAGATGTCCACTTTGCATCAGCTACAGGCGTTGGCTTCTGCAGCCCCCTCCCAAGGCATCCCACTCATCGTGGTAGCTGCTCAAACTGCGCGATGGTGAGAAAAAGTATTCAGCTAATGAGGAGCTTGTTTTTATGGCACAAGATTAATGACAATCATCACACCCTTGTCTTTCCATGATGTTGCCAGCTTCTGGGCAAATGAGCCCCAATGCCTTTGAGCCTGATATAATGGGAACATTAAAACAAGGTGTTTTAGAATTTCTTAATGAATATTTATTTCAAAAATATATCACATTAGACATAATCAGTTTGGAACTCCTGGGAAGAACTCCAGCTCCCCATAACTCTCTGTCTACTGACATGTGTGCCAGTGTTATGCTGGAAAATGTTTAACAGAATCTTAGGGGTCAAAAAAAAAGCCCTCGTTGATAGCGTTCACCAACTTTGTGGTGTAAATGCTCCCACCATGCTCAATCTCAAGCTACCACTGAATTCAGAGTTTGAAGGGACAGTTTTAAGTCACTGAATGCAGAGTTTGGGGAAGTCATGAGAACAATTGGTTTTTGTGGACTAGTACAAGCTCTAGCACATCATTGTCCCTCAAAGTATATATCCCTTGTCATGGAATTGTCAGATTAGGAATTAATAGGACAAGAGAGAAATTTACTCCCTAGGGCCTTGCATTATCAACCCTGACAGTACGTAGTACTTATTCTGGGCCAGGCACTATTTTTAAGCTCATCACAAATATTAGCTCATTTAGTTCTCAGAGAAACTATAATTCTTATTTACTGTAGTAAGTGAGACACAGAACAGTTAGGTAATTTGCTCAAAGTTACACAGCTATCAAGCAGTAGTGTTGGGATTGAAACCTAGGCAGTCTGGCTCCAGTTTCAACTCTTTCAACCTTTGCATTCTTTTTCTCTCATTTATCACAGCACTCTGGTTTTCTAATATAGTCAATATAGGCTGTAATTATGTTATCATTTTATTACTTTTTTGTGTGGGTATGCACCTCTCCTATCAGATGACAGATTTCCTGGGAACAGGTACCAAGACAGACAATCAATAAATAGTATTTAGATGTATGAGTAAGTTTTATATCACTATCCCTCGTGATCTGTCTCTTTACTAGAACTTAACATATATCAGCCCAAGAACAGAAGCTGTCTTTGTGGCAATGCCAGTCATTAGCACAGTGCCTGGGACATAGCTGGCACTCATAAATGTCTGTGGTGGGAGTGAATTAAACGGTTTTCTCTTGGACATTCAGTTGTTTCCAATGTTACAGTATTAGAGTAGTTTCCCTTCAGGCACATTGATGCATGTTGCACCTGCCTTTGTTCATACCTGTGTGCTTGTCCTGGTCTCCCTCTTACATTCTTGACATGAGCAGAGACTGTGTCTTACCAACTTCATAGCCCCAGGACCCAGCATAATGCATAATGCATCACAAGCATGCCAAACATGTTTTCAGGCAGAAGCAAACAGTAGGTGTTCAATAAGTATTTGTTACTGCATGAGTTAGTAAAAAAGAACTTGCTCCTCAAAGCGGAGTATATGTCTGATGGGAAAGGTGCTTGACCTGTTAATACACATGAAGTTCTCTGTCTTTTGCTGTGTCATCCAGGATGTTGGGGACAGAGCAACAGGTTGAAGGATCATTCTGATGTGCTATTGGTGACTTGGAGCATTATTTTGCAATAGTTGCAAGGTGCTCCAGGAAGAGCATTGGCCCAGGAGCCCAAAGTTCAGAATTTGAAGTCTGGTTCATCCAGGTATGCACCACACAACCCTAGGTAAGTTCCACTTTACCTTCGTGGGTTAAGTGATCTGTAAGTCTTTTCAGCTAATGGTTTCTGATTAAAGACTTGCCATATTCCTAGCAGTAGGAAGTTAATGACCAAGAATTGCCCTGGAATACTAACAGTTAAATATCTGCCTCCTATCAAATAGTAAAGATGCTGAAGAGATAACACGTGGCCATGTGTTTGAACACTTCATTTCATAAATCTAAATGAAGCATAATGATCTGATTAATATTAACTGCCTTCTCTTCCCTTTCCAGGCACAGGGTGAGGATGGAGAAAAAAAGAAAGGGAAGGAGAACAGAAGGGACTGAATTCTTAAGTGGTACGATTCGATTACCTCCAAAAGATATCCAAAGATGAGCATGCAATTACTACTAATTGCAGATGGTACTGCTGATAATGATAACCATCAATCACTTTGCTAGCCCCAGTTCTAAACAAGACTCCAGGCACCGCTGCAGATTAATCATGGTAATGGTCAGCGTTCAGGAGGCTGTGGCCACCAAGCTTGGACGATTCTGTGTTCTCAACAGTGGAGCAACAGAATCCATTGCCAGAAGTCATGTGATCCCACCCACACCCACACCCACTCTGGACTCTACCTCAGCTAACCTGCATACAGGCGTATCCCCTCTTTTGATAATCATAGTGTTAAAAGCAGCAATAACAGCCATATCTTCCTTTAATCAGAGTCCCAAAGCAATCGTATTTGGAAACCACTTCCTGATGACCAACCTACCTCGTCTTTGTTGCAATTTATCCTGTAACTGGAGTCTAGGGCCTAGATGTAGTTCTATTTCCATTTCTATAGAACTGGACAGCAGGAAATGGAACCTTGATTTTCCTACCTACAAAACAGAAATAATGCTGATGTTATCTCCTTCTCTATTGTTCTGTTACAGTAGAAATCACATGGGAAATCCATAGTGTGTCTTTGAGCAAACTAATCTGTGTATATACATCAGAGATTATTCTGGACTTTCTTCTGGTATTTTTTAAACAAATTACTTCTTGTGCATTTCAGGAAATTAATGAACTGTTCAAACTTAAACAAAGACAATCCTGTCTAGCCATTGTTATTGATACAACCTTTTCACAACAGAAAACATGGCAAGCGTCTGGTGTCGTGAAACAGTCGACTCCAGAGAGGACATAGGGAAGCAGATTCTTTGTTTTTTGTTTTTTCTTTGAGACAGTTTCACTTTGTTGCCCAGGCTAGAGTGAGTGCCGTGGCGTCAGCCTAGCTCACAGCAACCTCAAACTCCTGGGCTCAAGTGATCCTCCTGCCTCAGCCTCCCGAGTAGCTGGGACTATAGGCATGCGCCACCATGCCCAGCTAATTTTTTTCTAGATATATTAGTTGGCCAATTAATTTCTTGCTATTTATAGTAGAGATGGGGGTCTTGCTCTTGCTCAGGCTAGTTTTGAACTCCTGACCTCGAGCAATCCGCCTGCCTCGGCCTCCCAGAGTGCTAGGATTACAGGCGTGAGCCACCACGCCCGGCCGGAAGCAGATTCTTAAGAGATGGTGGCATCGCTCGGAACCCACCATGGCCAGCCCAGCACAGACGCAGCCAGCCCTCCTCACTGCTCACTCCATTGCTCCCCCGGAGAAGCTATGAACCCCAACTCATTCCCTCCTACTAATTCTGCATTGGAAAGTCACATATCATTAGAAAAGTTAGATATTTTTACTACACCTCCAAAATAAAAGAAAGACAAAGAAGCAAAGGGATACAGCGTCCTAGGACAGCGCAGTTTCTCTTTGGTTTAAGCTTTGTCGTGGATTATGCACATCAAAGTTCTGAACAGGTCAGCAGAGTTCCACCTAATTCTATCAGTGGAGGGAGCGTCCTAAAATGCGTCCTGGACACCTAGCAGGTTGTTTCTCAGCCGAATGGGGCTAATCTCCCCGTAGGGAGTCGTAAGCTTCTACAACGACAAAGGAGAACGATGGCCCTCTTCACTGAGTCAGCTGATTCTCGCCTGTGTTCCTGCTTTAATCCTGAAACAGGGAAGCCCCAGCCAGAAGAGGCACCAGAGGAGTTCCCCAAAGCCGCTTTGTTGCTTTGGGGTTACAGATCTTGTAGACTCAGTTTAAATTGGCCCTAGTCCTGTTTTGTCTAGAACCAAATAACCATCTTCATCGTTTACTTTTCCAGACGTAAGTACCTTTAGCTGTCTTTTACAGAATGATTTGTGTGGACTGGTTCTTCAGATGCAGCAAATCATTTTATACCCATTTCACAGGTGCTAATATGAACACAAAGGATAATTTTCTGGGTAAAATCCTAGTATTGGAACAATAGGCTCCTGTGATACAGTCTAGTGCCCCTACGATCTATCTTGAGTTCAGGGAGACCCCCAAAAGCTGTGACTAAGTGGGTGCATGTGCAGAGAGTCCAGTTCTAAAAATCCCACACTCTCCCAACCTCAATTCAAGGCTGTGGTCACAGTCACCACGCACAGTTGTCTTCTTAAGCCAGCAGGAAAATGTGGCAGTGGAAAATACCCCGGCTTTGCTGCAGGCCTGGACTCGGCTTCTCATGCCACCAGATGCCAGGATCCGTCAGACAGCCTGGGGAGCCACAGCTGCCTCTAATCTTCCCCGTCTCACTGTGATTTCAAATCTGCGCCACAGATACGGCCTGAGCCACGACCTACCCTCACCGCACGGCCTTGGGGAAAGTCTCCCAGACTCCAGCGAGCAGGAAGTTCACCCGTGAGCCTACTTAATACGTGTTTAAATCTTGTCCCAGAATTCCTGACCCGCTAGGATTGGGGTACAATGGGAAAAATCTGAATTCTGGCCACCTCCTCAGGGGATCAAATGTAGGCGTGGAAGACACGCAGAGGCCCTCGGCTGAAGTCGGGGCTCCCTGTCTCGGGATTCTGGTGGGAGACCTGAGATTTCATGATTTTTTCTTTTATTCTCTTCTCACAATTCAGCTTCTTTGTCTATAAGATGGGAAAGAGTCCATCCTCTTTAAGGTTCTTTTATGCCAAAATTAGGGCCTAGGGAACAACATTCCTGCTATGGGGTGAATTGTGTCCCCCAAAACCAATATGTTGGAATCTTAACCCCCAGTAAGGCCGTCATAGACGTAATCACGTTAGACTGAGGCTGTTACAGTGAGGCTGAATGCAACACGCCAGGAGTCCTTGTACCACGGGGGGTTGGACACAGGGAGGCGTGCACATGGAGAAAGTGCGTGGAAGGATTGGAGTTGTGCAGCCAAAATCCGGGACTCCAGCAGCTGGGAAAGAGGAGCAGACCCTCTGCTAGCACCTTTGGAGGGAGCAAGACCCTGTCCACACGGACTCTCAGATTTCTGGCCTCTAGCACTGAGAAAATGGCGTTCTGTCGTTCAAGCCACGCTGTTAGAAGCCCTTTGCCATGGCAGACCTAGGACCCGACACAACGCCCGAGGTCCTGCAGGCACGCGGACCTGGTGAAAGGTCAGCCTGGACCTCAGTCCTCCCGGCTGAGATGTCTGAGCTGTGCTGTAGACTCACTGTGGAGTCACCCCGGTCACTCCGACTGCCTCCAGAGGAAGAGCCATGGGCACCTGGGTCCCTGCTGCTTCCTGTTTGCCAAGTGTGTACTCTCCTCACCAGGGCTCGGGCAAGCGCCTGCGTCCCTCCTGCTTCTTGGGTTCCTTTGAGTGGTCAGGGGAACCGTGTCACTATGAGTTACTCCGCTGCAAAGAGCAGCACCCGATCTCTGAGAGGCCCTGGGGACATTCAGATCAGGCGATGGGGGAAGCTGATGTGAATTGGGCCCTTCCAAGGGCCAGGGACTCTGCTCACTGCCACACACAGATATTGTCATCAGCTGGGTAGCTCACAGATGATGACAAAACTGAGGGACAAAGAAATGAAGTCACTTCCCCGAGGTCCCACGCCTTGAGAGTGGGGCATGTGTCAGACAGGTCCACCAGCCACAGAGACGAGAATAGCGTGGAGCGAAGAGTGACCCGTTTAACCAAATGATTTTCTAAAAAGTTTCTTTTAAACTAGTTTTTGGAGAAAAAGAAGAAGTTTGTCCTAAAAGACTGTGTGAAGGGGCGAAAGAAAGGCTCCCCAGTGAAGCCAGAGCTCACGCCACGGGCAGCTGAGGCTGCTGTGTTCAGGGGGGCCATGGCTCCGGCCTGGGCACAGGGTGGGGAAAACAGCGCAAACTCTGCTGCTTGTTCCTTACTGACTTCCAGAGATGGCCACCATGAAGACATCTCTCTGTGTTTTTCCTATGTTCTCCTAATAAGCCATTATCATCATCATTGTCACCGTCATCACCATTCTCATCACTTTCCCTGGCATTGGTATGCTTTTTTGCATTCTGTAAATACCTTTCACAAGACTTTCTTCATTTGCTCATCAAAACACCCTGTGTAATAAGCATAACTTTAATCCAGACGAAAAAGAAATTGAACCTCAGAAAATTTCAGGGGTTTGCTTGAGGTCTCCACTGGCTCCGCACAGAGGCCGGCCAGCATCCAGCGTGATCCGCACCTACGCGGCTTCCGCTCTGCCCTCCCGGCGGCCGCCGCCCCCAGCTCGGGGCTGCCGGGGCTGCGAGGCTGGGGGCTCTGTCAAGGCTCCGCTCCTCCTTGCCTTGCTAACTACCCCCCAAGGCTCCCTGCCCAAAGGAATTCAGAACATGCTGTGGTTATTTGTGGAGCACTTTGTCTCTGGGAGATGCGGGCTCACACCACTCGGAGAAAAGCAGCACTTGCCCACGCAGACAGCGCTGCCCAGGGCTATTAATATCCCAGCACAGCAGCTCCGGGAGAGGGGGAGTGTGGCCCGCCCTGGCCCCAGGGCTTCTCGGCCTGGACACTGCCTTGTTTTACAGGAGCCCTGCTCACTCCCCAGCAATCAAACTCCTGCCCCACCTTGTGATCCAGTGTAGACAGAAGGGGAAAGGCCAGGGGGCCTGGCATGGAACTGCAGTCGCCGGTCCTCACCACGTTTCCTGGGCGATGAAGACAAATGGAGACTTGGAGTCTCAAAATAATGTTTGATTAGTGCCCCTCTTTTTTCTAAAGCATGCCAAGCATTCTGCATTTGTTGTCTTTCTCAGTCTGAGAGTTATCTTTGTGCACAAAGAAGGGGTAAACATGGTTAATGCATGTATTCATTCAGAAAACTTGTATTGACTATCAAACGCTCACCTGACCCCTCCCCCAAGGCTCTGATGACACTCAGATGAGCAGACAGAGTTCATTCCCTTAAGCCCATAGGTTGGTGGAGAGAAACAGCTAACGTGCGATAGTATCACAGTGCGATTACTGCAGGACCAGATGTGAACGTAAGACAGCACAGAGGGAGGGGTGGGCAACTCAGTCCTGAAGACACAAGTCAAGGAGACTTCAGAGAAAGGATTGTACTGGGTATAGGGAGGAAGAGAAGTTTTGCAGGATGAGGTGGGAAGGGACTGCACAGAGGTTAGGGTAATTGCCAAAGCAGGGGATAGGGACTAGCCCAGACACCCAGAGAGAGGGCCTAGGTAAGTCCCCGACAGGGAAGGGACAGTATGGTAGAGTAGCGAGAAGACAGACAGGAAAGAACAGACTTGCAAGTCACCTAATATCTTGAGGCCTCAGTTTCCAAAGCTAAGATTCTCACAAGCCCCTCCCAGTGTTTTTCAGCAGGTGTTGCTGCAGCCCGCGTGTCGGGCTGTGTGCCGCCCCACAGCCATGTGCTCCAAAGGCTCTGCGAGGGCTCGAGGTTTTCTGCAGTCCAGAGCACTGCAACTGTGGCCGTGTCTCCAGACAGAGAATCCTTTGCTTCAAGATGCATGGGTGGCCCAGTGATGGCCAAGGCAGAAAAAACAGCATGAAGACAATGAAACCTGCTAGTTGTGACTAATGAAAATAAGACCATGCATATCTGCTTGGGGAGCCCGAAGGCTGGGAAGGACTCTTTCCTTGGGGGCTCGCTGTCTAATTTGTAAAATTTAGGGACCCACTGACAGACCCACATATTATTAGTGCAAATTACCCAAGTTCACCTGTAACCCCAGCTCCTTGTGCCAACAAAGATTAAAAGTCCTGAGGGACCCCGAAATTGAACCATGAAATGTCATTAGCTAAATCTCAGTCATTGCAGCTCCCAGAACTAATTATAGAGCTAGGAGTGGCTGGGGCCAGACCCCTCTGATATAAAAAGATTTTATGAAAGGCAAAGGGGGAGGCAACGATAATTCTCACCCTATTATATTCCTTTCAATTATTTACAGTAATAGGCACTGATGGCGAACAAATATAGAGACTGGAATCCAGTGAGGTCACACAGGCTCTCTGGAAGCCAGTGATGCAGTATTGGAATCTGGGAACACAATGAGGCAATGTTTCAGCTGCCCCTGCATTCTTCACCTCCCATTGTCTCCGTCTTTCTCTGCTTCCCCTCCCCCCTCCAAAGTCAAGAGCACAGACCCATGGTGAGAATTCTAAGCTTCATCCCATGCCCAGAACCAGCGCTGTCCTCCATCAAGGGTTTCAACAGGACATTCGCGATCTTTCTCCTAAGTGAGCACCGTGGGAAATGGAAGCTGGAGATCTGAGGGTACCGCTAGGGTGGGGCTAGTGAGCGAGAAACACAGATCCTGTGGAGTCCGACCGCCAGGAAGCCCTTGGGCAAAAGCTCTGCAGCACCAAAGACCCACGTGCTCCTTCATAGTTCCCAGCCTCCCTGGTACTAGGTCGAAGCCTCAACTTACTGACTTCTGGCTGACAACACGCAGGCAGTGATGTGAGCCACTTGAGGCATGCCCCTTAAACACAGGCTGCAGAATCCTCCAGCTCTTTCTCCTTCCAATGCGGTGGCCTCAGATGCCACCTGCGCCAGAGGGGAGAGCTACAAGGTACCTCCAGAGAGGTATCTGGACCCATCAGTCATCAGACTTTAACATAACCAAGAAATAAGTGTTTTTAATAATGCTAAGCTGTTGACACGTCAGTGTGTGTCTGAGGTGGCCGTGAACGTTTTTTCTAAATCACATAAGCCCCTTGCATAGCACAGGCGCTAGGCATGGAGACATGCATTTAGCACAAAGAAAAAAATTCACACTAAATAAATCTCTCTTTCTCTTTTCTTGACCTGATTATTTATGTTTCAGAGCCATCCTTGGCCTGCAGGTTGGAGGAGCGGTCCTAGTAAATATGTCCCTGGAGATAGAGAGACCCTGGACAGGACAGGTGCCTGTGTCACTGTCTTGGAGCTGGGACAATTTAATTCCCCCAGGGGTAGTGGGGGAAGGGAGCCTCTGCTGGGATTCAGGGCAATCAGAATGGTGACCTGAGTGGCAAAAAACTTTGGAAATATTAATAGTGTAAAGCTCATGCACACACCCTTTTTCTCTTGTGGAATAGTCTTGCAATATGTGTCCAGAGAAAATCAGTTGGCATGCCCAGTAATTCTGGCTGTTGTGGGTCCTACGTTGTGTCCATATTTCTGGATGGTGCACAGCCCAGTTTTGGAGTACATAGCTATCTTTTTGAACCAATGAGATTTCTTTTTCATCTAGAAATCCTGTTCTGGTTTTCTATACCCTCCCTCCTTTCCTTCTATCTCTGTCTCCTCCTCTAATCTCTGAACCCAGGACTTTGACTTCTTTCCTGTAGTCTTGTCCTCTGCTCTTTCAGGAAGGGGCACTTTGAAGATTTTAGAAAACAAAACTCCCATGGCTGCAAATGGGCAGTATACTCAGTTTCAAACAACCAGGTGACTCTGATCTGAGAGGATCTCAGCTCTTAGGACCTTCCTCGGGTCAGGCATTTGGTGGTTTTTATAAACTCAGTCATTGGGCAGAAAATTAGAAACAGACAACAGGTCTCGAGTCTATTCTATTTGGCTCTTCCAAGCATTGGATCGGGGGTCCTTGGCCCGGGGGTTGCACTGGAGGTGACGCGTGGGGAGGCCTCTCTGCCATGTGCTCCATCAGCACCATGTCCTTCCTGGTTGCGTGGCCACCTCTCGGAGACAGGCACTCGCGCCACCTCTCCTTAGGGCATCACGGCGGCCTTCTTCCATTCCTTCTCCAGCCCATGCACTCGCCGCTGTCAGAGCACTCTCCCAGGGCCCAACACTGACTGGCCCTCTGCTCAAAGCCTTCTCGGACTCCCCACAGCCCGTGGCAGAAAGCTAACCTGGCGTACAGAGCCTCCAAGTCCGTGCCCACCGACCCTCCCAACCCCTCCGTCTGTACGCCCTTTCCCATGCTTTTAGTCAAACTCCCTGTGTGCGCAACGTCCCCTGCCTCCCTGCCACCTCATGAAAGGCCATCATGCCCACCTCTGACTGGGGAAATTCCACAAGTCCTTCGAGACTTTTCTCAGCTGACACCCCCACCCTGTGGCTTCCCTGCTCAACCCAACACCATGTATATACGATCTCTCCCAGTTTGAAATGCCACAGGATTCTGACACTCCCACCTGTAGTTGACATGTTCTGCCTCGCACAGCAGGTATTGCCGTGTGCTTTGTCTCCACTGCTAGAGAATCAGGCCTCCGAGGGTGGGTTTTGTGCATTTTTCATGGCTCCATCGTTCACGGTGCGTGTCGGCCCCTTTGCAGGGCAGTTACTTAGTAAATATGTGGGCCATTGGATTGAATACTGGGCAGCCTAACATTAAAGTTTAACCAGGCTATTATCCAAAGTGGGAATCAAGAGTTGACTGGACTTTCTTGAAACCTGATCAGGTAAATCTTTAAAGAGCAGCCTTTCTTGGAAAAATAAAAGCGAGGAGGCCGAGGGATTCAAGTCATCGGAAAAATAAAGAGTAACCACCACAGTTTAGAACTTAGCCAAGGGCTTGTCCATCTGCAAAAACAGGTCTGGCACCACACCCTCCGGAATGACAAATTGCAGAGCTCAGGGGTCGGGAGGGTGCACAGGAAGAGATGGCACTCTCCACCTACCAACTGTTTTCTGACTCCTTTCACTAATCGGGGATCTTCGTTAGAAAATGACACCAGGTGCGTGTCACTGAGGTTCACCCGCTCTCAGGCCTGCTGGTGCCTCCCAGACCCTTTGATCCTCTGCTCCCATTGTCTCCTGAAACCAATCCTTTCCATTTTGTATTTTTCCTCCTAATCACCTGATACCTCCAAGTAACCAGGTGTTCCTTTCAGAAGCCAGGAGCTGATAACCTGGGCTTTCTACTCTAACCCCAGCCCGCGTTCTTTGCAGTGGAGGACTCAGCGAGGACTCTTCCCCCGAGGGCTGGGTGCCAGCTCTCCCTTTCAGACTGGTTCTTCGGCACACTAAATGCCAGAAACGTCTGGAGCAAAGGAAGCACCCCTGGAATAAGTAAATAACCTTATGAGACAATTATTTGAATATGACATCTCCCTTAAATGTACAATTTTTTGATTAAAAAAAAAATACAACTAGTTCTATTACTTCCTCACTTGAGGAATTGTCTCCACAGCTTGATTATGAATTCCTCAGGGCAAAAGCTATGTCTTCTGTGTCCTTTGTACTTCACAGCATGTATGCTCCCAAATTGAAAACATTATAAGCACAAGTGCTTTGGTGATTTGTTGTTTCTCTAATTGTTTCTGGAAGAGATATTCTCTTGGATTATACACCTCACTGATCTCCTGCACTGATCCAACAGCCAATTCATTAGTCCTCACAGAAGGCTCAGGGGAGAAGCAGGCATGCTTGTCATTCTCCAGATGTTTGAGATCAAAAGAATTTGGGATCAAGACCAGAGAGTGTGAGTGATTTTTCCAGATATCACCCCATAAACCAGGGATTGAAACCCTTTAGTTGTGGAAGAAAACTTTACAGGAACAAATCTTGGCCCCAGGGTAGGTAAATCCACTGAACACCATCAATTGATAAATAGGATGGGGGCTTAGAAGAGTCCTCGTTTCCTAAATCCATCTTGATTACAACTGGGCTACCCCACATCTAAAGAGAACCAGATTTAAGAGAATATGATAACTCTGGAGTATCTTAAGTCATTCCTCTTCCTCAAAGGGACAGACCACAAACCACTCTCCACAGAATTAGCCCCTGACGGGTTCGGGTGTGTGCCGAGGCCTGAGGTTGGGCTCGTCCTCATGACCTGCTT